GATAATGCCGTCCTATAGCTCCCATAGTACTATTACCTTCCCTAATTCGTTTATACCCAATATCATTATTGTTTTCGCATTTTGAAATGACGATTTCTTAATGAAATTGTTTGCTGATGAATAGGCTACACATGAACGTTGTACCACCAAGAAAAAACATTCCAAAGTCCTTTCATCAGAAAGCGATATTCGAAGATATTGTTATTTGAGCAAGCGGCAAACTAAGCATAGCTCAGCTGGTTCGGTATTGTGGTGGAATCTTTCTACCTTGATTCAAGTTTTTGACTTGATGAGGGTGCTTGTGTTTCTCTGAAATTATTCTAGGATTTAATGATAATGTTCTTGTTTTTTTGGTCGTACGTGACGTGCCCGCAAGACGTTTGCGATGACTTCGTTAATCTTGATATCTGTCAGTCAGCTTAACCTTTTGAATGTGCTTAAAGGGATGGGTGTGCATGTATGCCTGAGGTGCAAAATGCAGTTATTTGAGCAAGCAAAATTTGATTCTGGGATTTTAATTAAATAAAAACAATTTACCTCCGCTGCAAACATACATTTGCTTAAATTTATGGCTCAATGACTTTTTTGACCTAGATAGTCATTGTGTTTCTCTCAATTATTTAGACATCAAATTAGCTCAAATTTTATGGCGCCAATATTACTTAATTGAGTATATTCACATTACTCAATCATATAACCCCAATTTGTTGTACTTTGGGGGTTAGTATATTCACATTACTCAATCATATAACCCCAATTTGTTGTACTTTGGGGGTTCATCATCAATTAATGGGGATTTTTTCTGGACTAGCTAGAGCTTAGATCTTACATCTAGATTCAGGGAGAGATAGAATACTACTACTAATATATATGAATCCATGTTCATCATGTTATACTAGTAACTAGTAAACTATAGACATTTTCAAATCATTAGAAACCCAAATTGTTTTTTCACATGTTAATGTTTTTCTTTAGTTATTAATTCTAAACAAGTGCATGCAAATGGGGGCATATATGCCCCTAAACAACTTTGCCCTGATCCTATTGCCGCTTCTTCTAGCAAGGGTCCCTGATTTAACCCTAATTATCCTCTGTGATTCGTTCTTTATCACCTCATGTCAATACTACACTCACCATGGTCCTACTAGAAACAACACAAATTCTGCCTTAAAAATCTCTTTGAATCTTCCAACGATGGCAGACGATGGTCAAAGATGAGACCATTCCTCGCTTTCCAAATCGTCCAGCACATGAGTTGGTAGACGATGTGTTTCTTCATGTGTTTCTCACCACAAGGTCTTGTGGGGAACTCCTTTGTATAGACTCCATTCACATATAGGAACTCCTTGCAGCAGGCTTTCATAATGAGAATAATATGCTTTAAACCAAACATGAGCAGCATTTGCATTTCTATCAGGCACTTCCTCTCCATAAACTTTCATGAAACATACTCCAAAAAGATCGATTAACTTGTACCGCGGGACTAATAACAATGCAACCAAAAGGATTTTGTTTGCTTCATGTTGAACTTTGACTTCATGTCATCAGTCATCACACAGGACCTTCAAGAAATTATCACTTATGTTTTTTTCCATCAAGGACTAGTTCCATTATCCTCCAAACCTCTGTATTACGTTGTGCCTACCTGGAGAGTAGCAATGATGAGAGTTGGCAGAGCCGCAGAGGAGGGGGAGGACACGGAGAAGGCCATGGTGCAGGACTAATGGAGCAAGCAGTGAGCTTTGCACGCCTGCGCCGCTGTCGCCAATGCGAGTTTAATTCCTGCTGCCTAATAGAATTTGGATTGTCTAATTTTCTCTATCATATACAGAAATCTAGTGAAGTCCAAGTTCCAACGTCCAATTGGATTTAGACTAAGCCCAATCCAGTCCCAGGTCTAATTGTAGGGGACATCCAATCCCCAGATTCTTCTATCCCTAATAATAAAGAGGAAAATTTATGGCTCTTTTTTTTCGTCCGTGGTTTCTAACATCAAAATCCCAAGGGTTTACCACCACAGTATACATGCTGATGTGAAGGTCCATGAAGTTTGTTTCATTTAGCGGTGCAAACACCTCCAGTATATGACAACCTTGTTATGGTTGGTAAGACAATAAATAAATAAATAAATAAAACTATGAAAATATGGTATTGCTTGCATATATTATATGTAGTAATGTTGAAATATATCCGCTGCTAGACTTGTCAGTTTACTTTAAATATGACGTAGCGGACTCCAAACATATGTTCTAGCTCCTGCTGCGTATGGGCGTTGCATGCTACTTGCAATGAGTTGTGTTAGCGTCGGAATCAAATTCCTCCTCAAGAATCATAAGAAAGGAAAGAAAAGAGAAGAAAAAATCGGCCTAAGCTCCAATACAATGGAAGAGGAGTTGGAAATCAATAAAAAAAGAACACAAGATTTTTCTGCCCTATTCTAAATTTCAGACTACTCCAATACAAATTGTTTAAAGCACTGAAGCTATTTTACAGAAAGGAGTCCTTAGAAAGAGATGTTTGAAAATAGCAATCGAACTTATCTTCGATCCTATAGATAGAAAAAACCAACATTCCCTAGGCAATAGATCACAAATAAAATTTAAAATATATAAAAAACCGACTATTATGCCAAGTGATTAGATATGCAGCAAATTTTACAAATCAATTTGTTAGGTGAATAGATCTGCAATACATTTTACAAATTAATTTTTTAGGGGATTAAATAAGCATTAAATTTGATTTCATGGCTGCAATGCAACAAATACATATAGAAGTGTATCCTTTTTTTGGAGGAAGAGAGTACTTTGGTGCAATTTGATAAACTGATGTCCCATTCAAAAATGAATTGGATTACAAAATGTTTTCATAGTCTGTCACTCTATCATGTACCATACAAGACATAGGACAAAGTTTGACTCCAAAGTGAATTCAAACACATGACGTGATCGTTGAATAAATCTTCTAGCCACAGGTGGTCTAAGTGACCATGCAATAAGCTCCTCGTTGCAACGTACGGGCATATTTGCTAGTAATACTAAAGCACTAAAATTTCTGTCCCAATAGGTTTTTCGTCCAGCCTAAACCGCCATGTAAGGGTCTCGCATCCGTTTGACCATAACCGAGTCGTTCTAAAAGAAAGAGACCGTAACCAAGTCTGTTTTTTTTCTGTTTCTGCCCGTTTTTTTTTCTTTTCTTCTACCCGCTTTTCCGTGGAGCGTCCTCTCGTGTCCCTTTCATCCGCTTTTATGTGAGCATCAGCTTGATTTTCTTCTCTCCGTTCTACATTTTTTTTTTTTTTCTCTTTTCTAGAGTAGAGTATCTAATATTTTTCTTATAAATATAAAAAAAATCAAGCGTGTTTGAACCCTTAACTTTTTTCTAATAAACAAATATTTTGACCACTAAATTTTAATGTAGTTTTGATAAGGAATAATTTTTTACATTAAAAAAATAAGGAATAAATTTTATTTTTATTAGAATTTGAATCAGCCAATGGTCTAACTAATCGAACCGTGAACTGAAATTTTAAGTAGTTTGTTATCCAATCTAATAAAATAAATCTATCTCGAAGCTGTATGCATATACCAATGCAATTGTTGATGTGAAAATTGAGAGATCTCTATTATAATCATGAATAGACAGACTAATCCCTGACACAAAACTCCTACAAACTTACGTCCTGTTCGTTTGGCTTATAAGCCGTACTTTTTTCAGCCAACGAACAGTATTTTTCTCTCACAACAAATCAGTCAACAGTACTTTCAGTCATGGTTTATCAGCCAAGCGAACATGGCATTAGATTAGATAATAGAATTACATATTTTATGGGTCCTCAATAAAAATCACGTACCTAGATATGTAACTCTACCAACACAATGGTAGTATCAAAATTAAAAATTATGGTATATTTAACACTAAATATTTATATGCCTTACAAAGGAAGAAAAAATATAAATCAAGATTATATTTTCATTTAGAAATAGATATAATAGACATTATCATATTATTGCCAATATAAATAACTTATATCATAGATGTCATGATCATCAAAAAATAAATAAACTATAGCTTATTAACTTTATGGAAAGTGTAAAAAATAAATAGAACTGTAACATTTTCATTATCGTTTTCATTGAACTTTTGATAGTTTTTTTCTCTCTCGTTGCAACGCACGGGCATATTTGCTAGTATCAGGAAAAAAAAACCAGATCATCCATCAACTGACAAACGTTCTAATAGTTAGCATCCATCTAACTAATAATTAGCAAGTTTAATAGTAGGTTTATTTGGATCAACTACTACTAATTTTAGCTGCTAATTTTTAGTGCTAATGATCCAAACAGGTCGTAATCTGCCCGCCAACGACTTCTGCTACAGAACGCGTGCATCGCCGGATGTACTTTGCGCGCACGGCGTGCCTGGGCGTTGATGATGGCCAGCGCCGCCACTCCAGCGAGCTAAGCTTGGGAGTGGCACGCAAAAAGTTTGAGCAAAATCAAAGGCAAAACGTGATATCATGTAGACGACCGTGCCGATCGAGCAGGTAGCTAGTAAACTCCTAACAGCTAACAGGTAGTACGTCACTAGCCGACGGAAGACCTCGGCATGGAGCACGCACGCACGGAGGAGAAGAGGACGACGCGCTGGTAGCGGTAGTGGTACGTTTGCTTCCCGGCGATTAGTGCGGGTCAGCACTCAGCAAGAGGTACTAGCTAGCTAGAGCGGCGCCCGCGTGTCTGATATGGCCGCGACCGCGTTAAATTTGCACGTCCCAGTACGGTTCGGGCGCGCGCAGGTGCCCGTCGTCGCCCGTCGCCCCAACCACCGCCCGCCGTCGACCTTCGACCGCATTCAGTGGTGCTGGCGCGGGGGCCTGGGGGGGCTGGCTTCTCCTGACGGCTGGCGCGTGGCCGCCATGCATCTCTTCGCCTCCACGGCATTCCGCTACTATTTCCATCGTGCCCGTTCCTCGAGCTTCGTCTATCCCTCACAGCACAAGAATGGCCACCTACCACTCCACGCTACCCGCTGCTCCTAAACCTGCATTCTTCTTGTCCAACTCTCTCTCCAATCAGACCTTCCTCAATATCAGCTTGGGAAGGGCAAGTCCTAGCCATGTCAGCTCGGTGAAGGCTGCCGCTGGAGAATGCTGGACGAAGCATCCTGCATGGAGCAATGTCCGGCAAGAACGGTGGGAGGGTCATTTGGCCGTGGATGGACACCGTCTCCCTACCTGGCTGGTACGATCGACCTACTTTTCAGCAGAACATCGATCTTATAACATCACATGTCTTGTAACTGCGTGCGCTTCCACAGAATGGCACGTACCTAAGGAACGGGCCAGGTCTCTGGGACGTCGGCGAGCACTCGTCGGACCACATATTCGACGGGTACGCCACACTGGTGCGCATCTCCTTCCGGCGAGGACGCGCCACCGGCGCACATCGTCAGGTCGAGTCGGACGCGTACAAAGCTGCCATGGCGCACGGCCGGCCTCTCCACCGGGAGTTCTCCCAACTGTGTCGTCCCTCCTCCAAGCAGCAGCCTGGGGGGAGCCTGCTCGATCGCGTGTGCAACGTCGTCGGCCTCGGAAGTGGCGCTTTGCTCTCCGACAACGCTAACATCTCCGTGCTGCCGCTCGGTGATGGCCGGGTGATGTGCCTCACTGAGACCACCAAGAGCTCCCTTCTGATAGACCCGGAGACTCTCGACACGATCGGCAAGTTTCGGTACGCGGATAGGCTATGGGGTTTGCTACAGACCACGCACCCGGTTGTGACAGGGGCCGAGTTGTTGACGCTGCTCCCGGACATGGTCATCCGCCGTGGCCATCGTGTCGTCAGGATGGCAGCCGGGAGCAACGATTGGAAAGTGATCGGGAGAGTGCACTGCCGGGGAGCAGGGCACGCACCACCGGGATGGGTGCATTCGTTCGCCGTCACGGACAAGTACATCGTCGTGCCGGAGATGCCACTGCGCTACTCCCTTACAGGCGTTCTCAAGTCTCAGCTCACACCTTGGTATATCTTCGACTGGCTACCGGAGTCTGGGAGCTACATGCACGTCGTATGCAGGTTCACCGGAAAGACCGTAAGAACTACTCAACTCTTAACAGCATCATTATTAGGTATATATTCACGTTGATCTTTCCATGGATGTTCTTGATGCATGTTATTTACATGTACCTTGCTTCTTGTAGGTGGCGAGCGTGGAGGTTCCTCCGTTCATGGCATTACACTTCATTAACGCATACGAACAGAGAGATGCGATCATCGCTGACTGCTGCGAGTACTATGCCGATCCTTCTGTCATCAAGGCACTTGCACTGCATAGACTACGATCACCCGAATGAACAAGGATGCATTCCCTGATGCTAGGTATGAATGAATGTGCAGCTCGATCGAGCTACAAGGAATTATTATTATTATTATTTTGACAAGTAATTAGGAGTACTTTGTTAGACATAATCTGCTGCTCCCACCTCGCCTTTACTGGTCGGCTCAGCTGTCCTCTCCTGGTTTAGGAGATGGAACTGGTCGGCTCGGCTGACCACTCACTGTTGTTGTAGCAGTAGTGAGGTAGTAGGTAGAAATGACTTACTTCAGTCATGTAGTGTAGAGATAGCTGAGCTAAGCCTTGTACCTTAGGAGTAGGTAGTTGGTGTACTCACTAACAACTATGTACCTTAGGAGTAGGTAGTTAGTGTACTCACCAACAACTATGTACCTAGTAGAGGTACAGTTAGAGTTGTATATATTCCATTCGAAGACAATGAAAAAACTCAGTTCAGTTTGCCACATCCAGAAGCAGAGCTTTCGGCCAGCGCTGGACTTGTGCCGTGTGTGTAAGCTGTTCTCAATATCTTCTTCTACCTCTAGCTATAGTGGGTGAGTGCTTACCTGTGTATGTGTAGGGTAGCCGAGAGACCAACATACTTGTTATCTTATGCATGCATGTGCAGGGTTGCCCGGTTCAGGATACCACTGGATGGTGGAACCATGGCCATGGGCGAGCTGGAGACTGTGCTGGACCCTGAGGTGCATGGCCGGGGAGTGGAGATGCCTTCCATCCATCCGGCTTACCAGGGTAAGGACTACCGTTATGTTTATGCTTGCGGCGCGCGACGGCCATGCAATTTCTTCAACTGCCTCACCAAGATCGACCTTGTGGAGAAAGAGGCCAAGAACTGGCACGAGCTGGGCTCTGTGCCATCAGAACCCTTGTTTGTGGCGAGGCCAGGGGGAACTGATGAAGATGACGGTAAGTATTATCGCTGAAATAGTTTCTTTGAGGTGATGATTTGTGATTCATTTGGACCACAATTAATTAAGAATGTTTGTAGGGGTTGTGATATCCATTGTAAGCACCATGGAAGGTGATGGGTATGCGCTCCTGCTGGACGCCGTGACTTTTGAAGAAATTGCTCGAGTAAGGCTCCCTTACGGCCTACCATACGGCTTCCACGGCTGCTGGATTCCAGAGAATATATGAGAACGCCATATTGCCCCTCAGTTCAGTATTGAAGTATGACCTATCAATTACTCCAGTACATCGACATGTATTCACATACAAATGCAGAAATCCAATTGCATTGGTAGCTATGATTTTACTATCCCATTACTATGGTAATGTTGTTGTTGACATCGATTCGGGTCACACATCGGTAAGGGCTAGACCGCCCAGAGGCCACACACGGGCTAGCACTTCTCTGCTTGATTAGGTTTCTAGAGATTAATTTAATCAAGGATGCAGGGATTATTAAAAATTTAGACCATGGAACCTGTCTGTTTCTGACTTAAGGTATACTCCCTCCATCCCCCAAAAAGTTATATAAATCGAACTTTTAAGCTTGATTAGGTTTATAGAAAATAATATCAACATTTGAATCTCAAAATATGTTTCATTATTAATCCAATGATAACTTTTTACTACTATCCCAAAATAAATGCACTTATAGGACTCAAATTTTGTCCCAAAGTAATGGCTCATGTAGCTATAAACTAGCCTTCTTTTAGCTTTCTTACTTTTCAAGGTGCAATTATTACATGTTGGAGTATGCTTTATAGGGGGATGTAGGTAATTTGAAGTGTATTTATTTTGGGATGGAGGGAGTATGTATTATAAATATTAGTATTATCTCTGTATTCTATATTTAGTCAAAGATGGGACTAATTAACTCCTCAAAAAGTAATAGTGGCATTTCTTATTTGGGATGGAGGGATCAGTGTTGATGCTAAAGCTACATCTGTCCCTCTCGAAGTCTCGATCGATCAAGGGATTCAAGGCATCTAGCTTCTTTAGAGGGGAAGAGGACGATTGGACGAGAGAGTGACAGAGGTGCATTGTACATAGATACATTGCTTTAGGTCTTATTTGATCCTACGGGATTTTTAGAATCCAAAATGAAAAAGATTGTCAGCCTGTTCGGTTGGCTGGTTCGTTTTGTTGCTGGTTTGTGAAGAAGTACTGCTGGTTAGTTTGTGTGAGAGAAAAATATTATTCCGGTTGAAAATTTACGATTGTTTACGACAAGCCACAGCCAAATGAACAGGCTGTGTAATCCTAGAATTACATCCAAACAAACTAGATTCTAGTGAATTTTAATACACATATACACGGAAACCAATAAAACACATTAGATTTTTTTAACTAGATTATTAAAATCCCAGTGGAACCAAACGAAAGCTTAGATTAGCCAAACTTTCTTAAGTTCGACAAAATTTATAGAAAGTAATATAAATATCTATATCTACAAATAGATTTATTGTACAAATATATTTTATAATTAATCTAACAATACTTAATTGGTACAATAAATATTTGTATTTTTTCATATAAGTTTAATTAAACTTAAAATTGTTTGACTTCTTAAGAAGTGAGAATTACATTCTTTCTAATATAGAGGGAGTAAGGGAATGGGGGGCGCCACAATTACACACACACAACCCGTGCTTTTAATTTAGACAGACACTACTCTCTAAAATGCTAAAAGGAAGAAGTAAATTAAGATCAACTTCAAGTACTCTCCCCTTCCCGCGCGTGCTTTTAATTTAGACAAGCACTACTCTCTAAAATGCTAAAAGGAAGAAGTAAATTAAGAGCAACTTCAAGTACTCTTAACTGAAGCTCTACCCTGAGGGGCTAAAATCCAAAATCTGCTCTCCAAAGGGACTCATTCCTCTCTCTCCCCTGAACCACCCCCGGATGTAGGAGGCCTCATCCTCTCCCCTACTTACTTTCTTTTTTCCAAAAAAAAAAAAGCTGACAAGCACCCCCCGACGTAGGAGGCCCTCGTCCTCTCCCCTACTCTTACTTTCTTTTTTCCCAGGAAGCTGACAAGCAGGGCCTGTGAGCAAGTCAAAACTTTCTTAAATAAAACTTAGACTAGATTTATAAAAAAATATTAACCATAATTGTATCTCTTCAAATATTTTTTATAAAAATATTTTATGTACTATAAAAATAATAATTTTTGTAGGTTGGTGTATTCCGTAGTGACCAAACGGAAAAAGACTGACAATCTTTATGGGACATAGAAGTAGTATTCCATAGTGACCAAGCATTTTTCGCTTTTGTTTAAGCAAAGGAAAACAAGCAGAGAAGTGAGGAAGCATGAACTCACTGAGGCTAAAATATAACTCTGCACGCTGATCGACAGTCACAGTCCGACACAGCGCCGGCATTCTAAACGCCCGGCACGGAGGTCGGAGGCTCATCATCAACTTTCGCATGGCAGGTTCAGCCCAGCGAATTTGCCGACGAACGTACTGTGCGAGATGTCAGCACGCTCATCTACTCAGCGCTGCACAGCTCAGACTGGCGCGGTACATCAAAGTAAACAGGTATAGTTCCAGATGAAGACGTGCAGTTCCTGAAGAGACCGGTGAAAATCAAGGCTATTCTCTCTGTCCATTTTTTTCCAGTACCACGTGAGGTCAAATGATACGAGCGTAACTTATCAAAAAAACAATCAAATAAACAATTTAATTCAGCTGAGCATTAGTAACATTTAACCCGATTAACAATCCAACTAACAGTCAATGTTTACCAGTACTGAAAAGAGCAGAGCACAGCACCACCAAATGCTGAGCTGCTGAAGGTATCCCCCTTTTCACACACAAGCAGATCAAAGTTAGTGTTACAAAATCATCGGTAGTTACACAACTTGATCGGTCAACGGACTCCCCAAATGACATGGGACGAAGTCTTTGCAGCAAATCATCAGCATTCAGATCCAGAAGGTCAATCAACCAGTCAGGCATTCTGTTGCCGAAACCTCTCCCACGCCTGCTATTGCTGAAGAAGGGTAGAGAGCACCAACAAATCCAAATACTCATATGCCATCACACCTTTCCTACTCTCAATGCATTAGTGCAGAGAACTTTCTAATTTCATGCAAAACATCAATTTGCAAGCGTAAGTGGGTGGTGAGTTTAATGAACAATTGGGGTAACCGGGCAAAGATACCCTTTTATGACTCATGAGCATGCCAATGAACTTGGATTGCACAACAGCATTCTGACACGAGAACAGCTTAAACAACACTCACCTACTTACGCCAATGGAACAGTTTCCAAAAGTAAGACTGAGCTTATGCATTCTTGATAAGACATGTTTGGCCAAATGTCAGAAATGAATTGACAGGACAAACAGTGCATGCAACAATTAATAGTGCACATGCAGGGCTTATGATCCAAAAACCCAAAACAGCTCTATGAAAAATCAGTGCAGACACTTCTAGATCCAAATACTAAAAGGGGTTTAACACCTAGCATGTAGATGGAATCTTACTTGTCAGCATAATAGGTGCAGACAGCAAATGGTGCAGGCAGCTGCAGTGCCATCATCTCATCAATCACCATCTCATCAGCCATCATCATCAACAACGCAAACAGCACAGATTATATCAACTTCAACAGTAAGCTACGTGCATGTTGACCGCATATCAGCCAGCACATCTTCACTCCATCATGTAACTAGAAAGGTGCAAGTCACCATGAATAGTAAGTACTAAATACTGATAAGATAGTGATAATAGGATAATACTAATATGAAGGTTAAAAGTGGAATGGAACTGGTGTACATAAAGTTTTTGATAAGCAGTTCAGGTGCCAAACGAAAGTAGTATTCCAAGGTTGAAGCAGCAACTGACAGACAGCACTACACAACTTTAACTGAGAACAGCCCACCATCGAGCAAATGCGTAGCCACACATAGGATCAGAGCAAGTCCATTCATCCTACAAGACAGCAACAATTTAGATTGACAAACTTTAGAGACGAATGACAATTCACAAAAATAATGAGAACAATCTAGGGACCTGAGCTGTTCAAGATGCTTTGCAAGTGAATTGTGCTTATGTCGAAGGGCTCCGAGAGCGCGGAGACCGGTCATCATTGTGCCTGACAGGAGATCTCTCAGGAGAAGGTGACTTCTTGCGAGGAGGGGAGCGACTAGGGCTCCTACTTGCAGGTGACGCGCTGCTAACAATTGTAGAAAGAAAAAAAAATGTTTAATGCAATCTAGAAAGAAAAAGGGTGTACCCAGTGCAGAGAGCTCCCGCTCTGTGCGGGGTCTGGGGATGGGTGTCAGTGGCAAGCCTTACCCTCGCCTGTGCAATGCGAGGAGACCGCGACTCGAACCCGGGACCTTCTAGTCACAGCCGGTAAGACTCTACCGCTTGCACCAGGCCCGCCCTTCTTAATGCAATCTAGAAAGACGGGAAGAAAAATGAAATCTGGCCCTCTCTAATTTTCCAACCTGTCTCTGCCACGCCTCTTGTAATCATCAGGACTGTAGCTGCAACTGCGGCTACGACTAGGGCTTCTTCGTGCAGGAGACAAACTGCCCATAATCACAGCAGAGAATGTGGTGAATAAGTGCAAACCAGCAAGATGGAACAATTAAACAAATGCTCTATGTATATACCTGTCTCTCCCACGCTTCTTGTAATCATCAGGACTGTAGCTGCGACTCGGGCTATGACGGCGGTAATCCCTATCTCTGTACCTGTCACGGGTGTATCTATCTCTACTCCGGCTATGGCTTCGCCTTCTATAATCTCTATCCTGGTAGTCATCTCGATAATCATCACGGTACCTTCAAATGAGTCCAGTCACAGCATTAAGAAAACGAACAGAACAAAATTTGAATAAGCTCAAGCATAAACAGCAAATCACAAATTCACAGCCCATTTAAAGAATATAGCTTAATTCACCTTCACGGCGGAAATGACGACAAGGGTTAACAAAGCTATAGCTAATTCTGAAAATGAAATATGACTTTTGTGCACAGGTGCTGCACGTGACAAGTGCATTCACACTTATCAATCAATGGTACACGCCACCATTAAACACACACAAACTACCCAATTTTACACCTTACTACCTTAGTGAAGTTAAAAGACAGTGGTGGGTAACATTTATTCTATAAATTTTGAAGAACAAAAACATGTGCATAACATTCAAAAAATGATGGCAGGTTATACCTCCGTCTTGGACTGCGGCTTCTGGAACGGACCCTTGGCCTTGGAACTGGCTCCACTATTCTCCCTTTATTTCTGTGAAAGTTGGACAATAAGAAGAATATCACGCATGGATTCAGTATGGACGATAAGAGCAGAGAAATTAACCCTGCAACAGTAGATATTTAACAAACTCGCACTAGGGATGCTTTCCTATGAAAGCAATTAAAGGAAAAGTTGTGGTTGCTCAGTGTGTTCCTATGAGACATATGGTGATTCATGATTTAACTAATTTACTCTGTTCATCATGTCGCACTAGGAACGTTTTTTTACATGGAAAATTAGGACATGTCATATTCACTAAAATGAAACCACAGTTTACTGTGTTCTTGTCAGTGAAGTACCAACAGACAAGACAAAATGAAACAAAAATAAATAAAGATACACCAAGAACTGTTGTTGCAGCATAAGTGGCTGTAGTATTGCACGAGGAACCAACGTGACTAAATAAATTGTACCTGATTATTAAAATCCAACACAAGTACACTAATAGAGATATCTAAACGTGGTTCAAACGTAAAACAGTCAGTCATATATATAGCATTATAAATGCTATACTAACCAGTGTCGTCTCTTTGCTCTAATGCAGGTATTGTACCAATGCACATGGCAAAAGGTTTCACTATTGGCTAATGTATCTATCCAACCAATAAACGATAGAGATTGAATTTAGGAATTAGAAAATAAATGGCATATCACAATTCACAAGTACATTGATCAAGAACAGCATACAGACAAATGGCAACTAAGAACTAAGTTAATCATTGAAGACCTCATGAACAGCCACAGAAGCAGGGGCCAAAAGTGATGTCTTACATCCGTTCAGCATTTGGGCCGTACTTGGCAAACTGCACCATGATCTCCCTCCCGTCTACCAATCTCCCTGCAAATAAAACGCAGCAAAGGTGAACAACCATGCAATCTTAAACCACACATGGAGTACACTAATTTCCACAGAGGTGAGAACCTCAAACTAAACTCACCATCGAGCCTATCAACTGCCTTCTGTGCCTCATCCTCGTACTTGTATCTCACGAACGCGAATCCGCGCGAGTCACCAGTCCTACAGCCATATAACCCTAGATGAGCACACACAAATTGGTGTTATCCCACATAAACACCTCCCGGAACGTACACGAGCGTCGCTCCCTAATTCCATATTCCACACCAGACACTCAGCCATCGCACGCGAATCAACTCTCGAATCGTAGATAGAAACATCCGTAGCCCCTGTTCGCCTCGCACTCACCTGCGGTCCCTTGGGATGTAGATGTCGACAATCTCGCCGTACTTGTCGAAGAGCGGGAAGAGGTCATCAGCAGTCGTGCCTGCGAGGCACCCAAATACAGATGAGGCACCAATTCAAAGCCCGTAGGGTAGCTGGAGACGGGAACGGAAGCGGGGAAGAGGGGAACTCACGGAAGGTGATGTTGAGGACGAGGAGTGAATACGTGTCGCGAATCGGCGGCGGACCGGATCGACCGAAGCGTGACATCTCGCCGGAGCCGGAGGCGGCGCGGGACGGGGGGCTCGAGGAGCGGCGGGTGGATGAAGGGTGGGAAGGCGAGAGAGGGGAGAGGGGATGGGGAGGGAAGGGATGGCCACAAAAGCTGCAGATTCTTCTAGGCATGCACGCACGCGGCAAGGTGAGAAACAAGTGGGCCCATTGCATACGAATATTTAGCCAATGGTCAGGCTATTCTTCGATGACGTTTTTGTTTCACACAGTCAAACCGGCCCAACTCGAATCGAATTCCAAAAAAACGGCCTACTCCCTTTCAAAAGCGGAAATTTTTGCTGTTTCTTATATTTTCCGTATATAAATGAATTGATTTCTATAAAAAAAATTAAGGTTTCTATGAATTTTTGCGTTCTAAAAAGATCCTCACCCTATGTGATTTTTAAGAAGGGTTCTTTTATTTCTATGTATGCAAAAGTTTTATACTCAAACATCTATCTATCTATTATTACGATTCATGAAGTTTTAGCGCCTTGGCAAGTAAAGAAAGCTTACAAAAAAGCATAGAATGGAGAGCCGGTCCTGGCTAAAATTGTTTAGCGGATGATTTTTACGGTTGATATTGTTTTGTTGTGAGATAAAAACAATATACTATGGCTAATAAGCTAGACTGATAAGTTCAAGCAAACGGGGATTATCAAAATTTTGGCATCGTTTTGGTTTGCTACTAAAATTTATCAACATTTATTATAATTAATATATCAAATCTATAGTATATTTTGTTTAATTTTTAGCAACTTTTGATTACCAAATATTTAGTATGGTAAATTTTGATATCCAACCAATCAATTATGTGGAAAGACTGGACCCACTTTTGTCCTTGTGTTTAGTTTCGAGACACGATGGGAAGGGCTAGGGGGGACTATCCTCTCATATTCGGGTCCAAGTTATCCCCCGAATTTTGAGTGGACTATGTAATCCCTCTTCGACACCGTGAGTCACATACTCGCATGTTTGTTGTCCCTCCTTTTCAATCCACGGCAGGCCATGGCGTGGGCAAGGTTGGAGCCATGGCAGGTGAGAGTAGAGGCTACCATGGCGGGCGGTGCCGCGGCCAGGGATGTCTTACATCCGTGGACGGCAAGGCCGAGGTCGGGGCACTGGGCGGGGGTGGAAGTGGTGTGCGGAGGCGGGTCGTCGAGCGCAAATGTGGTCGTACGGGAAACGAAGAAGATGGTCATGTAGGCTGACGTGCATGTCCTACTGGATAGTTCCAAACAGATCTATCCCTCATACCAAATACAATACAAAACAGGAACATTTCTGTCCCTTCAACTAAACACACACATGGAATAGATCTGTCCGTCCCTCCTCGGTTCCCAAACCAAAGGCAACTTTTAGAAAGGCACTCATTTGGTGAAACTCTCAATTGGTGTAGTCTACATTAATGGCTCTCTTCGGTCAAATTGGGTTGAAAAATAATCTCAGTTTCATTAGAAAATTTACGATTGATGATAGTTTTATTCTCATTAAATGACTTGTCACGTGGGTAAAACGTTGACATGGCAAACGTAATTAATGAAGAAAGAGAGCAAAAATCATAGAAATGGTTTCTTCATGAAGAAATCCTCCTCTTGACCCAAACCAAAGGCAAACCATAGAAAGCCACTCATTCGGTGAAACTCTCAATTGGTGTAGTCTACATTAATGGCTCCCTCAGTGGATGAAGAAGATAAGTTTGATGAGAGAACTGCTTTTATTAGGCCATAGAAACCAGTGGAAGTTTCACAGCGTAATTTTATTTGCATTAAATAAGTTGTATTATATAAACTACTAGTTTTTTTTTTATTGACATGACAGAGTGTATTTTCAGAGGAGAGAAAAAATATATTGCGATGAAGAGAGATCAGAGAGTTTCTATAGAGAAAGTCTTGAAAAACTTAAATGTCTATAAAAAATAGATGAATGAAACTTTGTACTGAGAGTTAATGTTTCATCCGAGTTTTACTATTCACTGAGACAGCAAGTACATGGACCGGGAGCACTTCATTAGCTGTACATTGAAATTTCCTAAAACAAACCGTTGAACATTAAAATGAAAAGTTCGAATAGGAAGACAGCTTCTTTATTGCCAACCTGTTAGTCCAAACCTGGACAAAATATCAATGGTAGCAACATGATGCTACCTTCCTCCCAAATCAAATCAACTATTAGGGCTAATTTGGAAGAAAGGGGAGGCACACCCATGAATGAAAAATCCTCCACGAAGAACTAAATAATTATACAAATTATTTTCCCATAGAGTTCCCACCATAGAAAAAGTCAGGGGTCCCAAAGAGATTTTGAGTTTCCAAATTAGCCCTTAGAGTTATCCTAAATCAAACTATTTTAAGTTTGATCAAATTTATAGAAAAGAATGCCCGATATTTATGACACTAAATTAGTATCACTAGATACATCATCAAATATATTTCTATAATATACTTATTTGGTGTCACATATATTGCTATTCTTTCTTATAAAGTTTGTTAAACACTTAAATTTAAAATAATTTGACTTATAATGATTTTAGAAATTGATTCATTTTAAGAGAATGGAGTATATTCATACTGAGATTGAGGGAGTACACTTTATTATATTTTCGAAGCAACGGGGAGCACAGAGCAAACTCCTTCCTTGCAACAGTGGCTTACTCCTACAATTTCAGCACTTTACCCTATACCAAATGACCTAGCTAAAGCCCATGGGAAAGGTAGGTACGAAGTATTATGCTAGCACACTAGCACTAAAGGCTTATAGTTCCATGCACAGCAAAGATGTAATTTGGGTACCAAAATTCTCAGTAACAGAGATGCTAGTACAAATTGCTCATTGAGGTGACATCTGAACTTCCATATCAGTTCTTTTTGGCTTCACCTTACTCTGTGAAAGAGATAAACAGGTATAGTTAAGTTCACGGCAGACTTAAGAGATATGATACTGAGGAAGTGCTACAGTCAATATCTGGACAAAACTGCCTCAGCTATTCGTCTACAACTATGCCTCAGATATCCTCAACATCATATATAGCATAAAAATCAGATTTACGTATTTTCGGAGAGCAATTTGCATTGTTCATTTAAGTTGGTGTTACTCATCATTTTATGACCAAATGCTGATTCAATTTCAATCCATTTTGCACAGTAAACGAAACCCATCAGTTGTTCGGCTGATGGTTTCTGCGGCTAATAAGCCGGCTGAAGCTAATTTGTTGTGAGAGAAAAACACTGTACCATGGCCAGCCAGCCAAGCTGATAAGTTCAAGCGAAAAGGGATGGATCCGGAGCTAGAATTTTTCTCATGGTACTTTCCACTTTATAGTCAACTTTAATAACTATATCATAGCTGAGAAATTGAAGAGCACATGAACTTTGTCACATTTTTCTTTCTACGGTTCTAATGATCACTTTCTTTTATCTTTACTTTTGGCTTCTAGCATGTATCTTCATTTGATCGTTCTATGGTTATCAGTGAATAATATGTAAGGTAGAGAATCATACAAACTCAAACACTTCAATGTATTCGCTGATCATCCTAAGATTGGGAAAAAGAAATACAACCATTACCTTGTAGGCGAGACTCAAATCCACAAGTGCCAAGGTGTTTAGCAAGCTTCTCTCCATACTGCTTCTGCCAGTCTTGTGTCCCCTTGGCCTCATCTGTTGTCCACACGACTGCACTTGCTTTCTTAAAATCAACGGTAGCAGAAGTAACCTCGGGCTACAAAAATGTCCAGTTATAAGGGAAAGCAAATTGAAAGGTAACACTAGAAGAAATGAAAAAAGATCTTTTTTTTATCTCGAAATGAAAAAAGAACTTGGCATAGTACAGACCAATGCAGATGCAGATTTAGGAAACAATCCATGAACAGATAAATTGCTCGGTTAGCTACATTTTTTTATCTGAGCTATTAGTTAGCTACTTAGCTTTCACCGGTCATTATCTGCTTTTAATCTGTCATGCATTAGAACGTAAACCAACAATCATGGCGCAATATCATCTCTTCATCATTCCACGCCTCACAAACTCTGAACGGGAACAGATAAACATACTTGGCTCTCCAGGATCCGCTTCACGCTCGCAGCGCACCCGTCGCACATCATCCCCTGCAAACACCAAACAGGATTCAGGAAAGATCACGTCACAGGCCTAGTTAACCAACCATCGAAATCGAACAATCGATTCGAGAAGAGGACACGAGGGGAGGGGAGTTCCGAATTGGACTAGCGATTCTATTGATACAAGGATGCGTACCTGGACACTGAGCAGGATGGATTCGGATCCGGCATCCGCCGTATCCCCAGAAGACGCGGCGGTGGAGACCAAGGAACCAACGCCGGCATAGTCGCGGCTCCGGCGCGAGAGCAGGACGACGCTTCCGCTGCCGGAGGAGAAGGGGACAGAGTCGAGACGGCGAGCCGCCCTGGTGAAGGAGGCAGGGAGAGGGGTTTGGAACGGGAGCCAGAAGTCGGGAGTGATAACCTCGCGGTCATTAGCGCGAGAGACTCCATTGCTGACTCGGATGATCTCTCGTTTCCCCTGCTCGAGAGCGGAAACTCGAGATGGAAGAAGAAGGGCTTATCCGATTCACAGTCGTTAGATCCGAGGGGATGGACTGCCCGTCATCCATTGTTTGCTTGTCCCGCTTGTCAGTGAGCTATGTGGGCCCGGTATGTTAGTGAGCTAGTATAGTGAATTTGCTCACGAAAGAGATTCCATAGCAGAAGAGCTGAATATTTCTGAAACTGCAAGAAAACATCTTGTCTTTCGCCGTACACAAAATCGTGATGGAAATCAAAAGACAAAGTAAGACTCACTACAGAAGAAGCATCAGGGAATTAAGGACAGCAGTAACACAACTGATATAACTGCTTAACAATTAACAACACGTTTGTCAAGCGAGCGTATGCAGAGCTAGCACTTTTCTAGCAGGCGCATCCGCTCCCCGCCTGTTGCTGCGAGTTGGACTGGCTTGAAGTCGGCTTCAGGTTCACGTCCACCATGTCCTCCTGCTTCGCCGACATCGTCTCCATTCCCGGCAGGGCCGCGGCGATCTTGCGGAACAGCGGCTGCACATATGAGAAATAACTGATGAAGTGCATGCAATCTGCGCAGGGCACATCAAAAGTCTAAGCATCTATATCATTGCCTCATTGGAGACAAATGGCGTGCTCGGCATCTGAATCTGACCTTGATGTTGAAGCCGGCTTTCGCGCTGGTTTCGATGAACATGACGTTCAATTCTTTCGCCTTGCTCTCTCCTTCTTCTGTGGACACTTGTCTGGGCAGAACGAGGCAGAATGATCACGAACTTGCAAGGTAGCACCACTTGTATATCTCTGAATAAGCCTACAAACAAACTTGAGAGTTCAAATCGATATGGTCACCTCTTGTCAACAAGATCAGTTTTGTTCCCAACGAGCATGATTATCACATCGCCACCTCTCTCGGTGCGGACTTCATCGATCCACTTTGAGGTGTTCAGGAAGGACTGTCTATCTGCAGGGATGAACATTTCAGCTATGGTACCTATTCAGAGAAGAAAACTGAACAAGAACCAATGTCTATCTGCAATGGTAACAGAAAAAGGAGCTGATGTCTTTTCCCCTTCATTAAAATTGAAATGCAACGGTACTTCACCGTAAAGTTGATTGATTGCTATTTTGCTAAAATTAACATTTGCTGATACTCTAAGGTGTTAAAAAATGTGGTTCACTATACGTGACATTGTTCGCTGGAACTGGAAAAGATCGGACACAAGCCGGTTGCATATAAAGTTTTTGGGTGACTTACTGGATACATCATAAACAACCACCGCAACGGAAGAGTCCCTGATGTAGCTTGGAATAAGGCTCCTAAATCTCTCCTGTCCTGCAGTATCCCTGACAGCAAGAACAACGAAATGCTAACTGTTCTTCAAGAAAACATAACGTGAACTAATAAAGCTACTGAAACACAAATTGGTCATGCGAATCACTCGAAACTTAGATGCAGTCACTAAGTAGTTTCATATTTCATTTCATTTCATCTCATCTCATCTCATCTGTTAGCATCACGAAGTATCACTGATTTCATCATTTAAGTATCACTGTGACTGAACCTACTACGCTCGTATATGAATTACGGACAGACCAAAGATTGAGATACTTACCAGAGTTGTAAACGTATAGTTCGGTCTTCTAGATACATTGTTTTTGACAAAAAGTCAATGCCAATCGTTGCCTGGACCAAGTACACACGTGCAAGGACAAAAGGTGTAAGAAGCAAATTAACATACCCCAAAATATATATTCAGTGCAATATCGATTCACCCAAAATATATGACATGCGTGCTGCGTGCAGGAAGCTCCACTTTCCACAAAATGGATTATCAGGAATTCAGGAAGTAATCAAATTTGCAGACGTTTCTAGGCCTTTGCATTCACCAGAAAACAGACCAACTATCCTGCAGCAACCGCTTACTAAAAAAAGAAACTCGGTCGGTGCGAGAAGACCACCCACATTTCATTAGGAGGGAAAAACCCAGCCTTCGCTCGATCAAGAAACCGCCAGGACCATGACAATGCAGGCCCAATTTTTGTTCGCGGTGAGGTGAATCATTTTAATGCATCCCCGAAATTCATCCCCGCGGTGTCCCATTCGCTACAGGCTGCAGCATGTGCTTTCATTGTTCCGTCCAGTAATATTTTCTTTGGAGTTGACCCACACAGACGACAACCACTAGTACAGTTTGAAGTTTGGAGTCGCCCCACTCCTACGCGACCAAACATGTTTAGGCTGTTAGATTGATCTCTTTCAATTAGCCCAACGGTTAAATGGGTCTCGGGATCCGCGTCCTGATCGGAGGCGCCCAACTCTACATGGTTGGTGGGCTCTCATCACACTGCACTATAAAAAGAGAGGTGGGGACTGCCGGCTCTCTTTACGAGGTTCACCGTGAGCAGCCACAGTCGCTCCACTGACATAACCCTAATCCGATCTAGAGGATGCGCAGCCAGTGACGGAAAGCTCCATTGCCTCGCCGCCACCGAACCGCGTCACCGAACTTTACTGCTACATCGCTACCGCCTCCATCGACTCGGAGCACACCACCCCCATCACCATGGACGGCTCCAGCAGCTCCGCCAAGCCCTCTGACGGTCAGAGACCACTGCCCCTCTCACTTCTTCTTTACCTAGATCTCGTAGTTCATGTTCTAGGGTTTGTTCATCATGTTTATAGTAAGATGTACCCGCTAAATCTACAGCTAAGGTCCTGTAATGTTTCTATCAATGGTATCATACGCCTAACTAGGTGTAGATCTAGTCTATCGGAGTAGAAAACCGAGTAGCAGCATTAAGAAGGAGGTGATAGATCCGTTTCGGATCTAAACAGAGGGTTCAACGAACCCTAAACCCAAATCGGGTGAAGAAAAGGAGTAAGAAAGGGTCTCGGTTTTGAAAAGGAACTCGAACCCTAACCCTAACCCGCGTAGACAGCTCGGGGAAGAAGAACAGTACTCAAATCCTAACCCTAACCCTAACCCTAACCCTACCCTAGAAAAATGAAAGGTTGGCGAAGGAGAGACCTACCTAGGAATCTTCCTCACCACCGGCAGTATCGTCGTCGCGTGGGAAGACAGCGCGTGCTGAGAGAGCTGGCGTCGCACTCAAGAGCGTAGGGCGCAAAAGAGCACCATCACGGTGCCACTCGACGGCGTCGCGCGCGGTTTCGGCCGCACGCGAGCACCGACGAAGGGCGCCACGGTGGCGCAGCCACCTCCTACATTGACATCAAGTGCGACGGGGAGAGAGGGCTAGATCTAGGGTTAAGGACAAGCCCATCGCAGCACGTATGGGGGATGAGGGCATCGTCGTCCAAACCGCTCGACGACGGCGCACTCAGCCTATGGCGAGCGCGCGCGTCGGCGAGGGGACCGGGGGCAGCTCCGCTGTGTTTCTCTCTCTCTCTTTCTCTTCCGGCTGCGCTGAGGAGAGGAAACAGGAGGAAGGCGAGAATGAGTTAGGGTTTAGGGCGCCCGCGCCGCAGAGGGATTTTTGATCTCCCGAAAACGACGCTTGGCTGTTAGATCTGGATGGACGCCTGAGAGCGCGTCGGACCAGAATCGCTCAGGCGGGGAGGCACTTTCCCGGCCCAGGCCCAGGTTGCGGCCTGGGCGCGGGGGAGGCGCCGCGAGCGCGTGCACACCACGCACTGTTGCTGCTGGACGGCTTACTGCTGCTGCAGGCCGGGCCAAAATGAACAGCAAATGACGTTTGAAGTTTATTTATTTTTAGAAGCATATTTGAATGAATTTTGATGAATTTCGAAGGTTTAAAATTTCTGGTAAAATTGCACCAACGTGTTACTTTTTCCAGAAAGTAGATATATATATGAAAATGCTTCTGAAAAATAGATAATTATTATTTATTCATGTTTCCGCTACGAAGTTAAAGTTTATTATCTTCTAATTAAATTCGAACTAACAGGGGGGTTTAATTTTGAGGAGTAGTTATAATTTTCAATAAATTTATGATTTTGTTATTTTTTGACCAAAGTTGTTGATACCAATATTATAAATGTTTGATTTATGTATTTATGCATTAATTCTATTTTCTGCCAAACGGTGATGTAGAATTAATGTAGAAGAAGTTGTATGTTTTAATTTTGACCAACGTTAAATTAAGGCATGCAATTATTTTGTTATGTTTTCTCACTTTCTCTGAACACCGTTTTTCAGGACTCAACCCAATGCCTTTTATCTCGCATATTCCGCCTCTTGAAGGGGGCAATTATAGAGTATGGCGAGAGAAGTATGAGCTCGCACTTGCGCTGTCCTAGAATGACTTAGCACTTACCTCTTCGTGTCCTACTGAGCCAGAGGATCCGATGAGGGCAGAAAATGAGACTGATGCCGATTTCAATGCTCGAAAGCGAGATCATGCAGAAGTTAGAATGAAATACGATCTTGATCGGAAGAAATGGGACATCTCGAACCGCAAGTGCTTGATGGTGGCCAAGTCCACTATCTCAAATGCTATAAGGGGATCAATCCCAGATTGTGATACCGCCACCGAGTATCTTAAGAAAGTGGAGAGTCAGTTTACTGGCTCTTCAAAGGCTTATGCAAGCACCTTGATTAATATTATTCAATAAGAAATACTCTGGTGGAGGTATAAGAGAACACATATTAAAGATGAGCAACATGGCTTCGAAGCTGAAGCCAATGGATTTGGACCTCAAGGATGAGTTGCTGATTCATTTGGTTTTTGCTTCCTTGCCAAAGAAATATGAAACCTTTGTTATTAATTACAACATGCAGCTCGATAAGTGGGATATAGAGAGGTTCATCGCAATGTGTGTTCAAGAAGAGGAGAGGCTGAAATTCTTACAATGTGACACTGCTAACCTGTTCAAGAAGAGGAGAGGCTAAAATCCTATAAGTGCAATCAAGCCCTATTGTGGGTTTTGGTATTGATGATCACCAAATTAGAGGACTAATGAGATTTATCAAGATGACAAGCAGGGAATCAAAGAATGAGGATGATGTACAGGTTGCAGGTATCCTAATTACAAAAGATGGCTGGACCTAGCTCAAAGGAGGTTTAAATTCCTTTATGTTTTAAAATTGAGTTTAGGGAAAGCTGTACTATTAAGAGAGATTTTAGGACAGTTGGTCAACTGTTGAATCAGATGCTCAAATTTACAGATCTACATCCTCCCACCTAGTCAAAACAGCTAGCCAAATTTCATATCATATTACCTATTTTGGTTAGGGCGGCAGTGCCGCCCTGTTAAGAGCGGCAGTGCCACCTTTAACTGACCGTTGGGCTCGGAGGGTATTTATACCCTTCAGGCTCGACCCACAATGGTCATCTTCTCCACTGACTCACTCTGCTCGAAAACAGACAAAACCAAAGCTCACCCCTCTCCTCCATTGTTGCTCCTCCATCCCTCAAGCTAATCCTTGATTCCAACCATCAAAACTTGAAAGAAAAGGCAGCAAAACTCGATTAGAGAGGAGATCCACTGATTCCCAAAGTCTAAGAGCATTTGGTTCACGTTTGGCCGGCGGTTCTAGGGTTTGTTACTCTTGGAGCTTGCTCCTAGCCGGCTAGGCGTCGCCCTTGTGCTTGCCAACTCGTATGGCAGCCTTGGGAGGTTTGTAACCTCATTCAAAAACTAAGAAATCACCCCTCACTTCAATAGTCCACTCTCTTGATTTGAGAACGAGGGTAAAACAAGCCTTAGTGGCAAGCTCAAGCCTTTTGTGGCTTCCTCAACAACATGGACTTAGGCAGCAAGAGCGAAAGAGCAAGAGAAGAATGAGTATGATGCATCATCTAGTGAGCTCTCTAGTAGCTCAGACGATGGAGATGATAATGTGTCATAGCATGCTTCAAAAGATAGCAAGGAGGTGAAGAGCAAGGACAAAAAGAAGGATAGCAAGGACAAGGGCAGCATCAACAATAAGAACAAATATACCGCCATATCCTTTAATTATTCTTATTTGTCTAACCATAACAAAAGGTCTTTTGTCAATGTACCCGCGGGCAAGTTGCCTCATTTTGATGGGACAAACTTTGCCAAGTGGAAGCACTTGATGAGTGCCTATCTTGTAGGTCTTCACCCCGGTCTTTAGGAGATTGTGGTGAATGGATTGCAGCCACCGGAAGATCCCGAAGCACCAACAAATGAAGAGCTAGCTGCTGTCTATCTCAATGGCCAAGCCATAAGTATTCTTCTTAGTGCCTTGGATGAAAATGAGTATAACCGAGTGATGAATGTCAATGTTGCAAAGCAGATTTGGGACACTTTGCATCTAGCACATGAAGGTGTTGATAAAGTAAGGAAGACAAAGATTGATTTGTTGATGGCCAAGCTCAATAGATTTGTGATTATTGATGGAGAGGGGCCGTAAGAGATGTTTGATAGATTGATGACCTTAGTGGGCAAGATTAGAGACTATGGATGTGATGAGCTTGATGATCATAAGGTGATGAAGGTTATGTTGGAAGCATACTCACCAAGAAATGAGACCGTAGTCACCTTGATTAGAGATAAGAAGTTTGAGCATTTCACACCAAATGATGTGCTTGGAAGGTTTTTGACATTTGACATGCAAAGAGAAGAAGCAAATGAGAGGAGAAGACTTGGTGAGTTGCAAGCCAAGCTAGAAGGCATGAAAATCAAGGAAGTAGCTCTCAAGG